GTCCTGACAGCACAGGAAACGGGGTGCAGTGTCAGTGGGGTCTCTGAGCAGGGCACCAGTCAGGATCCCAGGCAGGTCTCTGCTAAGGTCCATGCACGTTAAGCAGTGTATGTATACTACGACCCCACCTCCCCTTCTGTTGTTGAGCACACCCAGGCCCTGCCAGGCCCCACGGGGATGCGTGCACCTATTTTTTTGAGCACTTGCTCTGTGCCTGTAACTCTCTTCTCCACCCTGTCCTGCTGTCTACACTTACTCATCTTTCAAGACTCAGTCTCACCTGCTCCATTCCTACTTCCCAGGTAGGAGGATGCTTCCCAGTGACGGACAGAAGCAATACACATTCTCGAGGGAAGGACTCAGCTTCAGTCCAGGGTGACAGAGGTCATAGCAGAGCTATTGATTTGTAACATGCATCTTGACTTTAGATATATCAAAATGCATCGACTTTAGATCTATCAAAATATTAGAGGAAATAAAAGTCTTACAGCAGATGAAATATATAGGTGTCCTTATGTCCTGGGGATAATGGAGAAGGGAGGGTCTTCTGATTGCAGCCCCTTCCCAGACCAGCAGGGAATATACTCATGACTCCCCCGGAGACCATGAATAAAGAGATTTGGGTGACTTCTGATTCATGCTGCCCCTCCCTCAATAGCTTCAATGTAATCCCCCAGGCATTTTTTGAGCACTACCCCCATGGGAAGGAGGTGTGTGTGCAGGGGGCGCCTGTCAGCCAGGAGGTGGCCCCCCACCTTGCTCATCCTCCAGACGATGTGCATAGCACCAGCACTGCCCTCAGCACCCTGTATAAGGGCTCCGCTCTTCCCCAGGGAGGGCTAAAAGCTGAAAGCTTCCATGTGCATCAGGAGGGGGCCAGCCAAGTATAAAGTAGCATATGAATACGGTGATGGACATAAAGCAGTTGAGAAGGAGGAGCAAGATGCCTGCTATCAACGTGGACAGAGCTAAAGATTTGCTCTAAAAACTAAGTTGCTGAGTAACAAGCACAGCATGGCTGCATTTTTTAAAAGCACACCCAAAGGCCACTCTCTCTGGTGGGTACAGTTAATGTACACAAGGCCACTGTCTGTGAATCTGAGAGCGCAGTGCGGAGACAGACCACGCCTCATTTGCCTGTTTCATCTGGGCCATGCAGAGTCTGACACAAGTAAGTGCAGAGTAACTGTGTGCCCCGTGGACGGCTGCACAGGTGACCAGCAGGCCTTGTCCCGGAATGATGGAGCCTAGGGTCTCCCCAGAGCCTCCAGGGGATTCCCCCCTCCTATACTGGCCTTCCCTCCTCTTCCCACTCGTGCTACCTCTAGCTAAGCCCAGAACCCATAGGTCCACCTGCTTGTGGCCGCCCTGGCCTATCCACTCCGCCCCAGACCCAGGCTCAGCCAAACCGCTGCTCCTCGGTTCTCCTGGGCACTGGGCCATGAGTGACTCAGGGGGACCAGCTCCTCTCTAACCAGCCCCACACTGGTAAAGTGGAGATGCTACAGGATGCTCGTGTGTGTATTCAAGTGTGCACATGTGTGCAAGTGCGTGCGTGTGTGTATGAGTGTGCGACAGAGGCTGCTTTTTAGAAGCTGGGGTTAGAACACAGGAAGCAAGCTGACTTGGCCTCAGGCCATTAACCAAACTTTTCTACTTCAGTCTTGGATTATCTGTTTCCAAATGACAGGGAGCACTGATACTCAGGGACCTGATGGCCAACTAATCATGTTGAGAGCTGAGAAAGGAAACGAACAAGGGTCCCAGAAAGGCGCCCCACCTAGGCCAGATGCGAAAGGCCTGCCAGCTTTCTGAGGGAAAAGGCCTCGAAGCCCTTTAGCCAGTCTGAACGCTATAACAAAATGCCAAAAACTGGGGGCCATAAACAACAGACATTACTTCTCATGGTTGTGGAGGCTGGGAAGTCCAAGATCGAGGTGCCAACACACTCAGGTCTCCGTGAGGGCTCTTTTCCTGGCTTGCAGATGGCCACCTTCCTGCTGTGTCATCACGCGGTGGAGAAAAGGCGCTCTGATCTCTCCCTCGTCTTATAAAGATGCTAATCCCATCATGGAAGTCCCACTCTCAGGGCCTCATTTAAACTTAATTGGCTCCCAAGGGCCCCACTTCCAAATACCATTATATCAGGAGTAAGGGCTTCAACATACGAATTTCAGGGGGACAGACATTCAGTCCATATCGTTCTGTCCCTGGACCCCTCCAAATTCATGTGCTTCTTGCATGCAAAATACATTCATTTCATCTCAACAACTCCAAAAGTCTTGACTCATTTCAGCTCGTCTAAACGCCACATAAAATCAGATGTGGGTGAGACTTGAGGTACAATTCATCTTGAAAGAAAATTACTCTCTAGCTGTGAACCTGTGAAACCAGGTAAGTTATGTGCTTCCAAACTGCAGCGGTGGGACAAGCAGGGGATAGTCAATCCCATTCCAAAAAGGAGAAATCAGAAGGAAGAAAGGCGGGATGGGTCCCATGTGAGTCCCAAAACTAGCGAGGTAAAAACCATTACCTCTTAAGGCTCAAGAACAATCCTCTTTGGTTTGATGCTCTGTCTTCTGGACCCACTGGGATGGTGGTCTTGCCTTTCAGACCCACTGAGGCAGGAGTGTGCCCCCACCCCTGCAGCTCTGCTGGGCATTTCTGTGTCCTGCAGAGGCTCTGCTGGGCAGCTCTGCCCTCCGGAGGCTCTGGAAGGCCTCCATCTTGCCTGTTGAAAACAAGGCAGTGGTTCCCCCATTTGAAACCAAGATAGCTCCGATGATCACTGAATTGCCCTCAGAGTCATTTTTTTCTTGTCTGGAAGTATTGCACCCCGTTCATAGCTGAACAGCCATAAGGTCAGTCCTGTAGGATCTATCAAATCTGACAGCCTTCCTTCTTTTCATCGTCTTCATCCCCTTCAGTTAAACTATTGGTGTTCCTGCTGCGGTGGCTGATGAGAGCCAGTTCACACCAAGACTGATCTCATCAGATGGTTGTTTTGGCCACAGGCTTCATGTTCTCTTCTGAACATGCTGCCTCTTTTCTCTGTAACATGGACAGGCTGAGATTTTCCACATCTTTAAGTTCTGGTTTCTTTTCCCTTAAGAATTCCTTTTTCAAGTCATCTCTCTCTTCTTGCATTTCACTGTAAGCAGACAGGAGGAACCAAGCTGCGCCTTCAACATTTGGCTTCAAAATCTCCCCAGCTAATGATCTAATTTCATCACCCCCAACTTCTACCTTCCACAGAATGCTCGAACATGAGCACAGGTCCCAGCCAAGTTCTTTGCCACTTTTGAACAAGGATCACCTTTTCTCTACTGCCCAACAATGTGTTCCTCATTTCCACCTGAAATCTCACCATAATTGCCCTTAAAGTCTATTATTTCCAGCATTTACCTCTAAACTCCTCCAGCCTCTACCCATTACCCAGCCCCAAATCTGCGTCCAAATTTTTAGGTATTTGTAACAGCAGCACTTCATCTCTCAGTACCAATTTCTGTCTTAGCCATCTTGGGCTGTTATAACAAAACATCATATACTTGGTGACTTTAACAATATAATTCTGGATGCTGGGACATCCAAGATCAAGGCACCAGCTGCCATCTTGCTACGTGGTCACACGGCAAAGAGAGAGGGAGTTCTGGTTTCTCTTCCTCTTCTTTTAAGGACACTACTTCCATTATGGGGTCCCCACCATCATGGCCTCATCTAAACCAAAGGTCCAACCTCCAAATACCATCACATTGGGAGGTTAGGGTTTCAATGTATGAATTTTGGGGGGACACAAACATTCAGTCCATAATAGCCTCATTCATAGAGAAAAGGCTTCAAATGCAGGGTTTTCCTATGTCTGCGTTCGCGGGGCATGCTTTCACACAGACTTCAGTGTAAATGATGAATATCTGACTTTCTGGGTGGAAGCTTTGGACAGAGGCTAAAGAAGCAGAGAATCAAGGAGCTGGGAACAGGAGGAGGCTCTCTCTACATCATCAGGGCTGGCCCCGAAGCACAGGCCTCCATCAGTGCACCCACTCAGTACCTTTAAGGGGGTAGACTCTGGCTGGCCCTGGACAAACTCTGGGGACCCAGAGCTGAGAACGGGTGCCTGCCTTCCTGGAGCTTATAGCTCTGCAGGAGTCAAACATGCAGTGGAGAAGTGCAAAACTCTGACCCTTTCTCCAGGCTTTGCACATGCGTGCTTTTTCTCTAGGACATCCTGCGTTCCCTCTGTCCCACTGCCCGGCTGCTCCTGCCCATCTGTCACTGGGTAGGTGTGGCCCCCTTTGGGAGGCTTGCCCTGGTTCCCCAAGTCTGGGTTCTGAGCCTCCAGGGCTTCCAGAACTTTGGCACCTCTCGCCTCTCAGAACTTGCCACTCCAAGCTGGTATTTCTGTCTGCTTGTCTGAGGACAAGGCTGTGCACCATGGTATCTCCAGTACCACGTGGCCTGCTTCCTGAAGGCAGAGAGTGCTGGGGAATGTGTGGGTGAATAAATGAATAAATAAACACTGTGGCCAATGTCTGGCCCCCAAATGCCAGGGGCAGCTGTATAGCTGTTGCGTAACGGTGGTTGTGCAGTGAGGGTGTAGCTCAGTGGCAGAGTGCAAGCTTAGCATGCATGAGGTCCTGGGTTCAGTCCCCAGTACTTACATTTAAAAACATAAGTAAATTAAACGTAATTACCTCCCCCCTCAACCCCCTTCCAAAAAGAGAACGTTGGTTGGAAACACGTGTCGGAAGGTTGAAAGACAACAGAAAAGGTCAGTGCAATGCCAAATACACCTACGCACCTGATGGACCACTAGGCTATTTCTTGCTCCACAGCCAGCCAGAGGCACGTGCCCCATCCCAGTGTTCCTGGGTTTCTGAGATTTGCAATCTCCAATGCTGGGCTCTAGCGAGAGAGGCGTCAATGGGCACACTGTGCTAGACTGCCCAGGTTTAAATTCTAGCTCCACCACTGACTAGCTGTGACGCTGTGCCTCAGTTTCCTCACTGGCGAAACAGGGATTAAGAGTGGCACTGCTTTCACAGGGTTGCCCTCAGGATTAAGGGATAGAAGTCGCGTAAAGTCCCCGGGATCAGGCAGTGCCGTCACTGACTATAGTCCCCCTACCTCCCGTGGCCCTGCACTGGGCACTCTCTAAACCTCAGCTGACTAGTATGTAAAACAGGAATGACCATAATGATAGCGAGTAAATGAGAAAGCAGAACTGCGTTCTAATCCGCGGTTTGCGTCCACGGGCGTCTGCGGGGCTGCGACGTGATTCAGACTCACCGAGCCGGGGCGGGGATTCCGGGGCCCGCCCGCCGACCCACCGAAACCCTCCGCGGGGCAGAGCGGGGAGGACCACCTCCGGCAGGAGGGATTCGGCCCCACCCCCGACCCCCACCCCCTACCTTTTCCCTTCAGGAGAGTCTGTCGTGGGTTCATCTGAGAGGTGAGGAGGCCTACAGACGCACGGACCGGCGCTGGGGCCAGGGAACGCGCGGGAGGGGAGCGGGGGGCGGGGG